CAAAAATCAAAATAAATTTATTAAAAATGAATAAACATTATTAACTGTTGTTAAAAATTAAAATTTAATGAATAATAATTCATTTGATCTCTTAATTGTAATTAAAAGTTTATTTTAATATTTTTATATTTTTAAACAATTAATTTTAAAAGAAAATATTTTTTTTCAAAATATATGAAATTTATAATTTTTAAAATTATAAAAAATTATTATAAAAAATAAACTTGTGACACTAATACTAATAAACTCAATCACTATACACACTGCCCACTTCATTAACTTGTGACAAGACCCTAGCACGCACCAGAAACCGTGCGGTGTGGGGTGTCTGCAAATTCAAAATGCTGACAATTTACACAAATGTCACCATAATAGAAATTAATGATGTATTTGACATCATTTAAAAATTTTACAAAATTAGCACCCGAATGTTTTTACACATTTGATAAGGCGCGCCCCCGGGGGCGTGCCTTTGACCACGTGGCGTAAAGCGCATTACAGTGGGCGCGTCTTCCTGCAAATAGTATTAAATCAAAAAATTAATTTAAACGATGTCTGATCGAAAATATTAAATGAAAAAAGTGATTTTTCGGGATAAACGCCCATTTTACGAGGTCAAGAGAGTTAAATTTTCAAAGCACAGGCAGAGGGGAAAGTGAGAATAAATCCCAGAAAAAAGTTAAGAATTTTGTTCGCATTTCCCTTTCATTTAATTGGCAATTTTCCCAATAAATCACCGGTGATCGGTATATTTATCGATCTAACACCGGTCAGATTATATTTTTCGATCTAACATCCGTAGCAGTGAAGCACGCCCCCTGAACCGCGCTATACATTGATTTGACGCCACGTGGGTATAGCGCGCCCCCTGTCTCGCGATATACGGTGATCTGGCGTCACATGGGTATAGCGCGCCCCCTGATCTGCGCTATACCTGGGTATCTGACACGTGGGGTATAGCGCAGTGCAGGGGACGTCCCCATCCTCTCTATAAATACCCTCATCCTCAATCACTTTTATCACACCAAATTCTCTCAAATTCTCTAAATTTCTCTCAAATAATCTATCTTTTTAAGGTATATTTTATAATATTTTTACTATTATGTATTTACTTTATTTAATATTTTACTAATATAATTCTTTTGCATATATATAATGGAAGGCAGTCTACTTCGCTCGGATGGAAATCATATATCTCTACACTTTTGCTGATACGGTAACATTTTAACGTTTTAATTTAATTTTAATTATTAGTAATATTTAGTTGATTTATTTAATGCATGATTATTAGATTAAGAATTAAATATCTCGACACTTTGCTGATACGGTATCATTTTAACGTTTTAATTTAATTTAAATTATTAGTAGTAATTAGTTGATTTATTTGATGCATGATTATTAGATTAAGAATTAATTTTTGTAATTATTTATTTTTAAGAGAATGACCGTGTATTAGATCATTTTATTAGGAATCTTAAGTTAGTGATACACAATTGTGTCTTGCCGTATTTAGTAGAGGCTGGATTCGGTTACATAGGTAGATATCAGGGTCACTGTAAGATAGAGCCAGACCTGATTTCTGCCTTAGTAGAGCGGTGGAGGCCGGAGACCCACACATTCCATCTTTCGTACAGAGAGTGCACGATCACGCTTGAGGATGTTTCTATGCACCTGGGGCTTCCGATGGATGGAGATGTGATATCGAGGATAACTTTCAGTTCTTAGACTACTTTATGTCGGGATAGTCTAAGACGTGTCCCGGAAAATTTTATCGGATGTAGGATACCGTTAAATTGGTTAGATGCCAATTTTCGGGAGTTGAGCGCAGACGCCTCTGAGGATGAGGTTAAGATATATGCACGGGCATGCATACTGCAGCTGATAGGAGGGTTGCTGATGCCGGACAAATCGCGCAACTTAGTTCACTGCATGTGGTTGCGTCATCTTAGCAACTTTCGTCTCGCCGGATCATTCAGTTGGGGCTTGGCAGTTTTGGCTTTGTTGTACAGGGAGATGTGTGGAGCCACTGACTACAGACGTAATGCTATCGGCGGATGTCTCCTGCTACTGCAGTCTTGGGCATGGTATCGATTGCCCTTTTTATGTCCCGTTGTGAAGAACCCATTCGTATTTCCACTACTTCTGAGGTAATTATAAAACTGATTTTGTATATTAATAATTTTATACAGCATATAATAAATTTTTTTCCTTGAATAGGTGGTCTACTGATAGGAAAAATCATCAGGAGCTACCTGATGATTTAGAAAAAATTAGGGTGCTAATCGATCAGAAGGCTAGCACACAGGTATGAATTTTAATGTTTAAAAATTGATTTTAGATTATAGTTATATAATTAGATTATTATTTTGATAAAAATTATATATTATTTGTTTTAGTTTGAATGAGTGCCATATTCTACTGATGATGTGAGGACGGTGATTTCACCTGAGTTGAGGGGTCCATCAGATGTTTGGATGGCGATGGTCCCTCTGATCTGTTATGCGACCGTCGAGTGGCACTCCACTGATCGCGTGCTCCGGCAGTTTGGTTGTTTACAACCAATTCCGGAAGCACCTCACAATATGGACGAGTTGCATAGCTTAGATAGACGCGGCAAGACAGATACAAATTGGCTGGTGAGGCATCATGAGTGGGTCGTGTTGTGGGAGGATCGACATCGGCGCCTTCCACGTAGAGATCCCATTTTTACTGACTTCTTGATGTATACTGAGGATTATTATGAGTGGTTCAAATGGAAACTGCACAGATGGTTGCGTCGATGGCATCTCCATATGGTCAAAGAAATTTGCAGGTGAATGCCTTCCCCTTGAACTGGACGCGGTGTTGCCATACGGATTGTTCGTGGACCCACCTTGGTACATATCGTAAGGAGTTGCGGATGAATGTCTCCTCATTATGGCATTAAAATCATTACACATTACTGTAGTCGGGCTGTCAACTTGATCAACTTGTTCAGCCAGCCCATAGTATGAGCTTAAAGATTGACCCCGAACAACACGCACTTGAACAAAATGTGCATACATCTCAATAGCGGCGTCTGAATAATTACTTTGAGCTTCAACCATCATTTGAACATTATCATTGTTCGAAAGTTCGAACGCTGTATAAGTTAATGGCAACAATGATGTTGGAAATCTGTACTACAACGACGACATTATTCTGTTACTTCCAACATGAATCTTCCTCGAAATCTTCGTTATCAACTCCTCAAGAGTTATGTTTCTCTTGAATGATATTTTAACATGCTCATTTGATACGAAAACAACGTCGGTTTCATCTTCTCGAATTTCACCATCATAATAAACAATAACTGAAAATCGCATAATTCTTTGAGTTTAAAAGTGCGACAATATTATATCTGCAAAAAAAATAACTTAAACAAACCTGATTAAATAAATTATATATAAACGAAAATATAACACAAAAAGTTTTTTACACATCAACGTAAATAATTTAAATAATATAATTTTATATTATTACTTGCACCGCAAAACTATTTCGACGTATGCTCCCGCTTTTCAATTTTACAAACATAAAAATTAATTAAAAATAATTAGTATAATATTTTTTCAAATAATGATAATAAACAATAAGTATAATTAAAAAATTATAACAAAATTACCTTATAACGAAAAATCGCACGAACTTCTAAATCAAATATAAGAAGATTGTCAGAATTATTAATCGTTGACGAAATTGTTGTATTAATTTATAAGAGAGGAGAGATGCGAGGAGATGTGAGGAGAGATGCGAGAACCGTATTTATAAACATATAAGGTGCAGTACCTGCACCGCGTTATATGTAATTATTATATAGCGCGGATCAGGGACCGCGTTAAATATAATTTTGGTACGACGTATAGCGCGCCCCCTGATCCGCGCTATACCCCTACGTGGCGTATACCGCGGAGCATGGGGCGCGCTATACCCCACGTATAACTCAGTCAGCGTATAACGCGGTACATGAGGTGCGCTATACTCCACGTGACGCCAAATCAACATATAGCGCGATACAGGAGACGCGCTTTACTGCTACGGGTGTTAAATCGAGAAATATAATCTGACCGGTGTTAAATCGATATATATACCATGATCGGTGATTTATCGGGAAATAGCCCATTTAATTGGGGCAGAAGACGAGATTGTGAAGTCCAATCTGCGCAGTGAAGTCCAATCTACGCAGTGAAGTGAAACATGTCACTAAAAACAATCCCTCCGTTGCCGGTACAACCTGACACCACTTGCTGGTTTGGGACACGGTGATAGTAACTGCCGGATTAGGTCGAGTTTTTTTATCATTAATCTTATTTGATTTAAAAAAACTATATCTTTTATTCAAATTGATCTGATTTGATAAATATATATTCTTTATTCAAATTAGTCCCTATTTGAAAAGGATATTGTCTTCACTTGAACCCGATTTAATTTAATTTTTTAAGATAAAAATTTTAATCTGACTTGATCCAACTTAAAATAAATATATATAAATAATATTTTTTGGATAAAATAACATGATTACTAAAAAAGGATAAAATTATAGCAATTATCCTTAAATTTATAGAAATTATACTATTATCATGGGCCATACGGATTAGAGTTTCTCATCTTAAATTTGGATCAAACTTACTCGATATGAACCCTTTTTAATACTTTAAATTAAATTGTCATACGCAATTAATACTCCTTTGTTTCGGTGTTTAAATAAAAATTTTGATGTTAACCTGACGAGTGGCGGGTTATCCTGAAAATAGAAAGCCAGCTTAATCCCACTTTGTACAGCAAAAAGAAGTATTTATTGCTTTCGAGAAGATTAAAAAAGGTACATGCTTGTGATTGAAGTCTTAACAAGAACCAACTTTCCCCTCAAACAAACCACTCCATGTAATTGCCTCATCATTTTTCTTCTTACCAAAGTTTAAATTTTTATAATATTATAAATAATATTCTTTCCTTCATTTTATTGAAAAAAGTCTTCTTAATTTAAACTAAGTCGGTAATAAATACGAACCTTTTTGTTTCTTTTTCACCACTATACTTTACCGATCCTCTACTCCAACTCCCATGTCTCCATTTGCCACTTTGGGTGAAAGCAACTAGCCAACCGGTGACCCCTATTTTCAACGTTGATTGGCACAAGATTTTGCAATACCCAAATCACTGAAATTTGTGTTTTTTTTCAAGATTTTGTGTCATAAATACATAAACAAATGAATGTATGAATTTAAACCAGGTCCGGACCAATGTGGCTACTTTCTGATGAGGAACTTGACATGGTGGTTGTGCCATTGCAGTCGGATACACTGTCTTGCAAGCTTAACAATAGATGAGATGTGCTGAAACTCATTGAGGGTTTAGCTCTTGGAACAATTGGGACATCAGCTTCACCCACCAGCATTTGGACCACGCTTCTCATTGTGGGTCTGATCAGTGGGTCTGGGTGCGAACAAGCTAACCCCATAAGAAGGACCCTTCTCATCTCGCCCTCGTCGAAATCACCTTCAAGTCTTGCATCGGCTGCGGTTAACAATCTCCCTTCTCTATGCAAACTCCAAACCCATTCCACCAAATTCCCACTCACCCTGGCTTTCGCCATGGAATTGGCATCTCTCTCGATTGGTCTTCTTCCGCTAGCCACCTCTAGAGCCACGGCTCCGTAGCTAAACACATCAGTTTTCTCGGTCGCTCGTCCTGTTTGGAGATATTCGGGAGCCAAATATCCCATCGTGCCGGCAGCTACCGTGGCATCAGGCGACTTATCGTGCTCAATTTGCCTTGCTAAACCGAAATCACCTATCTTGGCGTTGAACCCTTCATCCAACATTATGTTGCTGGTCTTAACGTCTCTATGAATAACCTGGTGATCACACTCTTGATGCAAATAGGCCAAAGCAGAGGCCACTCCTAACAAAATTTTCTGCCTATGAGGCCATGGCAATGGCGTTCTGGCTTCAAACAATGCTTTATCAAGACTCCCATTAGGCATTAAATCGTAAACTAATAGAATTTCACCTTTCTCGTGGCACCATCCCTGCAACCTTACGAGATTCCGATGCCGAAGGCTTCCGATTATAGACAACTCCGATAAAAACTCATTCTTGCCTTGACTGTTATGACTACATCTCTTGACGGCCACAATGTCGCCGTTATTCGGTAAAATGCCTTTATAGACAGTCCCGAATGCACCCTGACCGATTATTCGATTGGCATTGAAACATCTCGTGGCTGCTTTCAGCTCTTTATAACTGAACTCTTTCGGCATTTTGATAATCTCCGATGGAGAAGTCTCCGATTTCTCAACATGCTTGATCTTTTTAGAGAAAACCCAAATGAGACCGCCGGCGAATAAGGCAAAAACGAAAGCCCCTGCCGTTACCACCCCTGCCACAGCCCCTGGACCTTGCTTACAAAGCCGGTTATGACATGAGGAAGAAGAAGAAGAAGACTTACTCGAATGGGAACTCGATGGAGCCAATGAAGGTGGCGCTGACTTAACAGAGTTAGCCGTTGGGTTCAGTAAAGTAGTCGTTGGAGGCGGAGGAGGCGCCGAAGATGTTGGCTCGGAAGAAGAACTAAAACTCCACCATTCTATACTATGTACCTCTGTGCTTCCTTGTGTTGAGCCTGAGAATCCTACATACATGAAATCAGTAACATATTGATCCAGATTTAGAGGGAACGATAGCATGGGCTCTTTAGGCTTCAAATTTGAGTACGAAATTGTGATATTGAAAACCCCAGATGGAGCATCGTATTCGATCCATGAGTTAATGAGGTTGCCGCTCTTTAGATCGATATCCAAAGCTCCCAAATCACCAACTTGTGAAGAAACCAAACTGTTGAGATCCAAACCAACGTGGTTTCCATTAATGTCATTGAATTCTACGTCCATAAGAGTGTCGAACTCCACCGCCACGAACCCCGAGGCCTGACGCTTATCGTCCAAGAGCCCCAAAGAGCCGCCGCCGGCGCCGACGAATTCACCGTCCGGGGTAATGACAAAGGCTAAACCGCCGCCGATGGAAGACGGGTTCAGGTTCGTAATGGAGAAGGAGAAGAAGGTCGAGAAGCTACAAGGAGAATGAGTTCCCGGTTCCCGGAATCTCACCGGTTTCGAATACAACGCTCTGCCGGCGCCGGAGTAAGGGACTTGGATGTCGCGAGTGAGTCTCACGCTCCCATTGTTTAAGTGAGCATCACCAAGGAGTTTCAAGCTGCTGAGAGTTATGGTCCCGAAATCGAACTCCGTTGCCGCAAAGATTCCGGTGAAGCGTTGGACAAAACAGAGGAACAGAGCCGATAAGAATGTAACCTTAAAAGAAAACGGCGACATAATGGCTTCCAATTTCTGGTTATTCTGGAAACCCCATTATAAAACAGAAACCGGTTATGCTTATACCGTGTTTGGGTGGGGAGATTTGTTGAAGAAGAAAGATTGTAAAATTGAATAGATTCTAGAGGCAGAGAAGAGTTTATTTCTTTGGATTAAAACGGAACAAAGTTGATGGAAACAAACAAGGAATAGTGAGAAGGAATCCAATGGGGGAGATGATAGGTGATGGAGACAGGTGGCTGGCGAATAGTAGGGCACGTAGATTTTTTAAACGGTTATTTTTCTTATCGGTGATTGAGAAAGAGGAAATAAAAAAAAATATGAAACCTTTTTGGTTCACTTGTGTTCACACAACACTTCACGCTTTCGTCGCTCCTTTTACAAGGAAACATTCAGTTGCACGTGACTGAACGAATCGATTTGGAATATTTAGCTATTTAGTTCCAATGAGTTCAATTAAGTATTGGATAAATTACATGTTTAGTATTTAAATTTTGGTCTATTTTAATCCGTTTTAATATTTAAATTTTTAATTTTTTTAAAATCATATCTAATATTTAATTTTTGTTTCCTTTTAGTACTTTACCGTTAAAAACTTAACGGTTGATTTTCACGTGACAGTTTTTTTATGGGTAAATTTCAGCATTCATCACTCAACTATCTTTTCACTCCTATTTTGATCATTAAAATTTAATTTTTTTAATTTAATTACTTAACTTTTAATTAATCCTAATTTAATCACTCTAATTTAATCACTAAAGTTTAGGTACTACAATGGATCAAAACTAATGAATTTCCCATCCAGCTCAGTTGGTAAGAGCGTAAGGCTCTTAACCTTGTGGTCGTGGGATCGAGTCCCACGGTGGGCAATTCATAATTCTCACTGTCGGAGGTCTCCCACAGAAGCTGCTCTCAACCTGGTGTTGGGGGCAGCATACTATCCTACCTTCCCCTTACCCCCATCCCCCATTACATATGGAAATAGGGTTAGTTAATTTTTTTAATGGATCAAAACTAATAATTTAGACACTAAACTCATCATTTACCCTTAACTCTTTTATTTAGTTTAGAACAATTTTTATATTCTTTTATCTAAATAACAATTTTTATATTCTTTTATCTAAATAACAATTTTTTCCCAGAAATTAAATATTGATGGTCACCACATTAATATTAACATACAACAAATGAGATGGTAGATTATGATGACTTTAGGCGATGAGTGTAAACTTAAGATGAGTGGATTACTCATTCTGAATTAGACGAAAAGTCACCGATGAAGAATGGGTCTTAGTGTATGTGTTTGTTCGATGATATTTTACTTTTTTTTTTTTGTCTTTATTTATATTTTCTTTCTATTGGTCCTTGAGCATTAAGTTTAGTCAGAACTTTAATCTTGAAGTCTGACAATTAAGTTTAATCCTTGTGTTACCCATATTTTCTGGTTTGTTTAGCAATTAGTAAAATAGTAAAGTTAATTGCACTCTTTATATCTGTAACACTACTTAATTTTACTTTACTAAACTCTTTACTACTTAGTAAATTTCAACCGAAAATACAAACTAATTTGAAAAGTCTTAAATGTGTGGTTTTAATTATTTTAAATTGGACCTAAAAATAAAAATTAATGTAAGTTAATATATTGGTTGATTACATTAATTGTACAACGATAAAACATATAAATAAAATATAAATACAGTCACATATGGATGAATTGAAGGGAAGGGTGAGATAGTTGTTCCCCTAAAAATTTCATATTTTTATATATTTTTAACATTTTTATATTATCCTATTAAAAATATATTTTCATCACCTTAAAATTTTATAAATTTATATCTTTTTCAAAATTTTATAAATCTACCCTTATCTTAAAAAGTTCGAGTCCGTGCCTATAATCATAATTTAACATCACTCTCCAACTCACTCGCTCCAAATCATGAGGTCGAAACAGTAATGTCTATCCCTTCTAGGACCTCTACAAAGGCCAAACCTAACCATTGTCTGCCTTGTCAAAATACATTTTTCTTTTGGCAAACTACATCTCACTATCATTTTTTAAAAATTATACATAACATTATGTTTTAGTTTCGTTTTAGTCATCCACCGTTAAAAAATTCACAAAACCACTGAGTGGTATTTTTATTTTTTTTCAATGATGACATAAAATTATCTTATGGTGACATGTAAGTATCATCATTAATTTTTTAACGACGGGTGACCAAAATGAAAAATTAAATCTAAATGTTAAGTATGACTTTTTAAAAAATAATTAGGTGACCAAAATAAAATAAAAGTAATAGTTGAAATACTAAACGTGTAGTTTATCCTTTTTTTATATCTAAATTTCCATAACCGCCTTTAAAAGTATAGGATAACATTAAAAAAACCATGATAAACTGAAACTAACATTTGTACTAGTTAAGATGAGTATAAACCTGCCACATCGGCCTTCCACGTCATCACATTAGAATCAATAAGTTTTTTTCACAAAAAAATATTTTATAGATTTTTTTACTATTTCATTCATAGTTGTAATCAGTAAAAATTATACACTTCATTATTTTTTTAAAAATTTATATCAATTCACTTAAAATTAATTTTCAATCACCTATCTATGTTCATTTGAAGAAGGAAAAAGTTAAAATTTGGTGAGAAAATATGACATAAAGAAAAATAATAATAAAATAGACGATTTTCTATAGATGACGTGATCAGAAAGGTTTATATAAAGATTTTTCCTTTTTTTTCTACAGCTCTTTTTCTTCTTTCTATGGGTAAAATTATTATTATTATTTTATCTAACTTTGATATTTGCATGCAATATGGTACTTACATTTTTTTTATAACAAGGTATCTAACTTTTTTATGCAATTAAATACCAAGCTTTTTTCCTTTGGCACGATTAAGTATTTAATATTTTTTAATTCATCATGTATCGTCAATAAATAAAGAGAATGTTATTCTTTTTAAGGTCTCGAGTATGAGTAAGTATGCCTGTAAGGTGTATGCATTGTCAATGACAAAGAGATATTATGAACATATACTACCTTATAATCACCTCAGACCAATGACAAATCCATAAATATTTTTAAATGTGAGTACATATATAGTAATAACATAAAACTTTCAAATTCAATAAGCATAAATAAAATTTTAAAGTGGACATAATTAATAAAATAAAAAAAATAATATAAATAAATTTAAATTTTAGGATGGACATGTGTCTATCTTAATATATATATATGTCATTGCCTCGTACTATTTAAAATAATATATTTAATATTTTAATTATATATTTTCAATCATGATTGTTTTGTACTTTATAATTTCAACATCATTTAATTGAATGAATAGTATTGGTTATACATTAAAATTTTAAATATGATTATTTACAATTTAAAATACTATTAAATACTTAATTATATTAAAAGTAAAAATTAATAAATATCTAATTAATAAGAAAAGTTATATTCCTAATTACACCGTTAAAAAACTAAAAAATACCAACAATTAGTTGATCTAGTGGGATGAGACATTAGATTTTTTTTTATTTGTTACAAGAGAAGCCACTAGGATCTAGTGGACTGGTATATTTTCTGATGCAATATAATCAAAATTAAAAACGCTTAAAACAGCCGGTGGTGGTGCAGAAAAAACGAGAGAACCCAGGTTCCTTTTGTGCCCGAGTCCAGCCAGACTATTAGCAAGCTTATTAGCCTCTTAGTTGATCGTGGTTTTCCTTTGACGTCAGAGAACTCCTCTAATTCTCCTGATGTGCGAAAGCTCGTTAGTTGTGGATCCGAATTAAGGCATGTTGCAGCTTCCTGGTTGTCAAGCTCCATGTTTTGAACACGAACACCCATATTCCAAGCTATTTCAAGACCTTCCATAACAGTCCATAATTCAGCTTGGAAAGTTGTGCAACGGCTTAAGCTTCTGCTAAAATCAGCAACCCAAGCCCCAGTGTGGTCCCGGATAACTCCTCCACACACTACCTCCATAGTCCCAGTGTGCATAGCTTCATCTGTGTTGAGTTTAAAACAACCATGCATCAGTTTTTTCCACTTCGAGAGTCTGCAATTGCTTCGGCTGCAGTTGGTTGATGTATTATGATTCTTCTTGATATTTGTAGCCCAACCTTTTGCCGAATATACTCCAAACCGCCTATATTGAGTCATTGAAGACCACATTGTTTCGATATTTCCATATCCTCCAAATAAGGATTACAAAGAGATGCTTCCACTTGTACTCCATGTTATCCAACCCTGCACTACTAGTTAAATTCAAATGCATCGAATCCAAGAGAGGGTAAGAGAAAAATATCATAGCATGTTGTCATAGAATCAATTGAGACTAAATCATACGAGCATGAGAGCAATCTCTAAGAATATGGATTATTGTTTTTTTCTCCAGCGCTGCAAAGTGGGCATTTATCATCCGCCGTAATTCCATGGCATTTCTGCTCAGCATTAGTCATAAGACGCCTTCGAATGACTGTCCAAATAAAATTTCTTATTCTCTGCGGCCACTCATAGTTCCACGCTAACTGCCATTTGGAATCACTTGGGTCCCAGCTCTCCTTTTGAATAAGGAAGTAGGTCATTTTCACTGAACAAGAACCATAGTTATCCCATCGCCACATAGGTAAGTCTTCTCCCACGTCGTCACGAGAAGGAGGATCTGGTTAAGAAGACAGATATTTTACTGCCTATCATCCATGGTGAAGTCCCGAACCATCGCATTACGTCTAACGATTTGGTTATCATTGATATAATCCGCTAAAGGGTACCATCCGCTAATCCACGAATCAAACCAAAAACTGATGTTATGGCCATTACCCACTGACCAGCACACGTTGTCCTGAATGTAGTGTCATATCCAATTTAAAGACTTCTAAACAAAGGAACCATTATTCGTTTCGATATGCGTAGACACCACCTCTGTTACCTTGTACTCCGCTCTCACGATTTTAACCCAGAGAGCATCAGGTTTCATTAGCAAATTAAAACCCAGTTTAATCAGAAAAGCTTCATTTTGAGCATTGAGAGACCTTAACTCGAGCCCCCATTAGCCATAGGTTGGCAGCGGTCAGTCCACTTAACAATGGCCATTTTAGGTTTATCCTTTGTATCACCCCAAATGAAGCGTCTCACAATTTGTTCCAGTTG